CAAATTGAGATATGTCGCTGGATTCGATGTTGAAAATTGGATCGCTTCTTCTACAGGCCATGAATATTTTAACACTAACGTTTGTATTGTTCTCAAAGTTGAATCTGGAAGATCCATGCCGTAAGATATTAAACGACCGGAAGAGTCGTATTTAGGATGTGATCTAAATGAAAAAGTAGATTTTATTCGCAAGGTCTAGTTCAACTGACAAATCTGTTCGGATCAATTCTTGTACTAAAATACCCAACAATAAACAATACGCAATCCGTAATAGAAGCAACTATGAAATTGTCTATCAATTTCCATTGCATTTATCCATTATTTGAAACCTGTACATCCGATTAGATTCATAAAGCAAAGGAAATAAATCAAGATGATGCATTTGTTAAGTGAATACTACTCGATTTGTACTATCTGACATACATAGTAAGATGAGCTCTATCAAGAAATAATATCCATACCCGTAAGCATCACTTGATACTGTTATTTGTTTCAATGGTAGTTTCTCTGCTCGAAACTTATTCAACGTAACGACAGTTGCATTTTCATTGATAATGTCCGCATCAGCTGTAAAGTCACACATACCACCAGCTTTGATCCATTTTCTGGCTTCTTCAATCAGATCATCTCCTCGCGATGACATATGAGTCAAATACATATGCTGAATCGGAATTGTTGTTTCGTTTAAAATTTGCCAAAGTAAATCAATTTTTGTTGGAGCTGAACCCAGATGAAAATGGACTACACCCAATTTTCCACTGAGCATTCCAGCGACTCGCGCATCGCTAAGGAGCTGTATAAGATCAGATTTCGATGGCCAACTCGATCGATGATCACTGAGTGCTAACTCACCGGCTCCTATGACTTTATCAATCAGAAGTAAATCGTGTTGCAGTGATCCGGTTAGTGTAACCATAGGAATACGATAACTACCAGTCCACATCCATGTTGTAAGACCATCATGTTCCAGACCCTTCGATAGAAAGTTGATGCACAAAAAAAAATCTATTAGATTCTCGCTCTGAAAATCGTATAGTATGTCCTGAGTCTATTTAGAATTTCTGAAGTTTTATTCGATAAGTAGTTTCTTTTTGCATATTGAATGTTGTTAATATAAAGAACTTACTTTCATTTTTTGTAGCAAAGATGACAGACTAAAGGAAAGAATCAATATTATGTTCAATTTAAAAAACAAAGCAAACTGATATTCTTCAAGATGTGCTAATTGAGCACCCTGAATCATTGTGCTATTATTTATATGAACGAAGTAAAGAAAAAATAGTCAAATTTGACTAACCTCCTAGTAACACCATCAGTTCCAAGTACTCCGACAATCGTCGTCAATCCGCCTCTTATTAATTCAGATAAACGACTTTCAGGAGTTCGAGAATACGGACCTGAAAGAGAAATAAACAAAGCGAGTCTTTGACACATTTGACAAAATCAAAGTCGAATTTGACTAAGACTTTATAGTCTGTTCATTGACAATGTTAGTAAGCGAATCACACCGATGTCAAGTTTTTGGAGATCATTTCTGAAAAATAAAACAAGCTCTTCCTAGTCAACAAACCTTGTTCTCCTCCACCTCCGATAGCATGAACATGGACATCGATGAGTCCCGGAATAATGAGTTGATCTTCAACTGAAATAGGCAGAATGGTCAGCTCACTATGTCGGATAGAATCAATAAATGAAGCCGTTTTTGATGGATCCATCATGGCAAGTATTTTTCCGGCTGCGATAACCACGTCCTTTCGTTGAGGCGTGCAAACATTTTCTGGTGTTGTATTGGTCGAATTCGGAAGTCCGTAAACTGTTCCGCCG